AACACACATGATGTGTACAATGACACAACCACTAGTCAACTAATAATAATAATAACTAATGAATGACTCACTCACTACAAAATAAGTAAAGTCTAAAATAGATAGGTTCATGTTTATGTAGCAATCATAGCAACAAGTGTTGCTATGACAATGAAGACAAAAGCCACAGTACCATACCCACCATTACCAGTAGGAGGATCATCAGTGGATTAGGATTAACTATGGTCCTGTTGGTCTTGTGTGATGGTGATGGTGTTATTATTACCTTATGTACTCATTGGTATTAATAATAATAAACCTACCTTTTGTCCATCAAGTCAGTACAATATAAGATACATTGTCATTTGCCAATAGAATCAGTTTACACTAATCTTCAATGCTATCACATCTACACACAATGCAATATGCAAAATTGTGCAAAATAATTGCTGGAACATGATAGATCTACATAATAAATTGTTTTTCAAAAACTTTTTAAACAAAAAACTACATAAAGCAAAAAAATTTTTCAGCAATAATCTAAAGCTAAAAATTAACGAAAAACAACTAAACAGTAACTTCATCAATACTGCCATAAGTAGCAGCTGTAGCAATAGTAATACGTTGATGATGCTCACCAGATACATCATACATTCTACCAGGAACATGTTGTTCATCATATTCTTGTGGATTCTCCATACGATCAGCAATCCAATCATCATCATTACCAACTAATGGCTGATGGTCTCCTTCTTGATTTCTGTTAGCCACTGGATTATTTCTTTTATGATAATGATAACATGATACTATCATTTTGTATACCTGGTAAATTATATAACCTGTTATAATAATACCAAAAATTAGACCATTGACAATTGGTAGTGCAACAGGAATTGAAGGTGCCATTGCAGAACCTAATTCAAGATAGATCTCTGACCTCAAGATCAAATAGGTAGTGACACTGATTATGCATCCAAAAACCGTCATTAAAAACATAATTAAAAACTCAGTTAAATTATGAATATTTCTTTGAAAGGTGCAAAAGATGATAACTATTAGTGTTAGTAAGAAGGAACAGCAAGACTGAGAAATTGGCATTGAATGTACAGAATAGTGTCCATAAATGAATTGGCTTAGAATGATTATTCTTGCCAGTAGGTATAGTCCAGCCATGAAACGATAATCATAAGTATTCTCAGTTCCATTCTTATAAGGACCAGTAAACACATCACCCAGTGATATCAGTAGCTGTTTTCTCAAATGCAAACAATTTAATAACTCATGAAACCATTGGAATGGATAAAGGAGTATATAAAGTGTTGGTAGAACAATCAGAAACAATAGCACTAAGATTGCAAAGAAACCAGCAGCACCATGAACCCCCTTAAAGTAATCCTGCTTTATATCATAGTAGAATTTGGTACTGTTAAAACCGAGTGTTTCATTTTTAGGAGCAACGCTCAGTATTTTAAAGGAAGTGGCAGCTAATTGAGTGAAGCAGAGTATATATATTGATGCTATAGAGTGAGTAAAAGATGGTTCAATGCCAGTCATACTCCAGAAACGAGCCATGCAACGGTGAAATGGTCTAGTAATAAATACTACACACTTGTAACTTTTATCATACAATGCTATCCAAACATAGAGTAAGAGGAGGAGGAGCAATGGATAAAATCCTATCACATACCAGAAGGAAATTGCTCTTAATGGTGGTGTATTAGGTGATATACACATGGAATAATTGTAAACAAATGGAGTGAAATTTAAATTAAATATATTGCATGGTATCACAGATAGTTGTACATACCGGTATGGATCATAATCAGAATCATAATCATGAATATAATTATAATAAACTGAATAACTTATTGTCATTATTTGTGAATAGAATACAACTCCATTAATAGATCCATTGGTTAGTTGTATATTAAATATTATTATTAATAATACCATGATTGTGATAGGTAATATTTCTATTACAATAAATATTAGAAACCCATGCTTATCACATTCATTGCTACCATTGTTCAGAGATAATCCACGTGATAGATGTTTGATAGAACTAGTAGAATTAGTTGGCTTATCGTTACAGGTTCCTTTATCACTAATGCATTGAATTGTCACATTTACAGTTCTGCTTGTACTAATATTAATCAGATCAAGTGTTTGAATGTACAGTGTCACTTCAATTGGGCCAGCATCGATATAACCATCAAAACATTTATTTACTTGATAACACATGTCATTAACAGAGTACTGTTCAAAGTTTGGTCGTGAAATGATATAACACTCTCGCTTGATTGAAGAATTAATGCTAATACAGACATTGAAATCATTTCCCCAGTCAATCTCGATTCGCTTACTATTAGTATCGCTAGGTTTAATGATACTTATGGATGCGCAAAATGAAAGATACTTACATTTACAGTTGTCATACCGGCGATAATCATGACAATATAGGATTGTATCAATGTAGCCTAATTCTAGCTGTAAATTTAGACCAGCATCATTCCCCAGTACTGGTTCATTGTGTGTA